TATATATATATATATATATGATTGAAAAGTTTAGAGTATAGAAGTAATACTACTTAGGATGAAAAAGTACAGGAAAGCATAATATTTTCTATATTAAAACTAGGCTAAGTGGGATAGCTGTGTGTTTGTTGTAAGGGAGGCTGAATCTGAGCCAGTATTATGGGAGAAAAATGTTTTATGAAAGTGATTCCTAGACACAAGGGTTTTGCATATAAAGTTATTTAAAATAGTTAAAGATAATTACAGATTCGAAGGAATAATGTCTTCAGGGAATGGATGAACACTTAAAGATTACACCACAAAAACCAAAAACAAAGTTTGAGTTGTAGGAACTTAGAAGTTGTTGGTGACATTTCATATAAAGTACATTTTGTTGAAGGAGGAGGTGCAAAATATTTTGGAATATCCAAAAATCATACTTGCATAGCCCCTGCAAAAGTCTTCTAAAGCTCTTAGCTTTATCTTTCTATTCTTTTTTTTGCGGTATGCGGGCCTCTCACTGTTGTGGCCTCTCCTGTTGCGGAGCACAGGCTCCGGACGTGCAGGCTCAGCGGCCATGGCTCACGGGCCCAGCCGCTCCGCGGCATGTGGGATCTTCCCAGACCGGGGCACGAACCCGCGACCCCTGCATCGGCAGGCGGACCCCCAACCACTGCACCACCAGGGAAGCACTATCTTTCTATTCTTAAAATTATGTTTTGTGTTTTGGGCAATGGGAAGTTGCATTTGCTACCGGCAAATGACTGCGAATTCTCTAACATTTTGCAAAATAGGGAGCTTTGAGGCATGGCTGAGAGGGAGAGGAAGGAGTAACATGGGTGGGTGCAAGTGAGGGTAATGGAGAGAGATCTAACCTGGAAAGCATTTGGAGGCAGAAACGAATTTTGGAAATTATCTGTATGGCAGTGTTGTCTTTGATCTATAAGTTTCTTTGATGCGCTACTTCAGAGAAGGTTTGAATTTCATCAGCCGTCATCCATCCAAACGTCTCTTTCAGCTGAACATTGGCATCCCTTCCTTGACAAAGTGCTGCAACCAACACGACAGGTGCTATGAGACCTGCGGCAAAAGCAAAAACGACTGTGATGAGGAATTTCAATATTGCCTCTCCAAGATTTGCCGAGATGTGCAGAAAACACTAGGGCTAGCTCAGCATGTGCAGGGTAAGGCTGATTCGGTGAGATGGGGATAAGTGCAGTCAGGAAAGTTTTATTAGATGCTTTTGTGTTAGTACAAGATATACCGATCGAAATCTTTCACTATGTATTACCTTATCTATGGTGAAACAGCCCCTTCAGTTTTCTGAGATGAGAAGTCAATGATTTTGTCATCTAAAATGGTTTACAATCACAGAAGCAAGAAGTGTTAGGAAACCTTGGGAGGAGGGTGTGTAAGCTAGAGAAGAATTCATCCAAAATCTTGTACCCTGTAGGGTAGTTCTAATTACCTAGAGCCTGAAGTTTGAAATTCTGGATCCAGTGAAGTTCGGAGTATAGCACATTGGATTTGGAGTAGGAAGTTCTGGAAGATTTGAGTCTTAACTCTGTCTCTTCATATGTATCTGTGTCAGGAAGGTCCTCAAAACCACCCCCTCACCCCTGCCCATGTTCAGTGATTTGCCAAGAGAACTCACAGGGCTCAGCATGTAGTCATACTCACGGTGATGATTATTGCAGTGAAGGGACACAAAGCACAGTCAGCAAAGGTAATAGGCATTTCAGTGTCCTCGTTTATAAAATGAGAACGGTAATACCCTTCTTGTAGAGTTGTCATACGGGTAAAATGAAATATTTGTAGAAATACACATTACTGTACAAATACTAGTCGTTAACAAGATTTCTTTACTGTCAAGCCAAAGAACGTACCATACACTGAAATCAGAAGAGGAGAGGCAGTAAGAAGGGTCAAGAAAGGAAACTACCACTTTTAAGCACTTTCCATAGATAGTGTGCTAGATACTTGAGACATGTTTTCATTGATGTTCACAGAAACCCAAAGTACTAGTTGGCATTATGCCCCTTTTTAAAGGAAGGAAACTGAGGTTCAGAAAGAAGTAACTTGTCCCAAGTTACATACTTCGGACTTTAAAACTTGTGTTCTGTCTATTCCAGTATTCCCCAAATAGTCTCATATTATAGGTGTTATTCTGAAATTCTAGTAATAACTAGGAAGTAATAACAAGGAGGAAATCTTTGCTCCAGGTGAAGCTTGAACTCAAAACCTCTGAATCCCTTTGAACGTTTTTGGCTAAGGTAAACTAGTTGTCCAGGTGAAGCACAGATAGATGTGTTTCCTGTTTTCTGACCTAAGGATATGCTAATGTTGTTAGCAATTTCCTTGCAGTCTCCTATTTAGTAATCATAACCTTTACACTTCTGTGGTTGGTTGTATTCCTTAATGGCACAACCTTTTGGAAAACTTTGAAAATGCCAAGATTTTGTAATGAAAAGTTTCTTTCTTCACATGAATATTGGAAACTAGAAGTATTTGGATAACTAAAAGCCACTCTGTGCCGTTTCTCTGTAAGTATAGTATATTAAGATAATCTTACCTGAGTGTTCCAGGTTTCTTAGAATAAGAAAAGTTAAATCTGTTATCTTTTTTATAGTCTTTCAAAAAAATTAAGAAACCCCACCAGAGGAAAAACACCTTGGGTTCCTGTGTCTCCCCTCCCAAGCTAAATTTGGATATTGGTCAAAGAAAGAGACTGGGGTCCATTTAATACTTTAAGCATCTTAAATTATGTGTGATCATTAAAAGCTGTTGACTATAATTAAATGTTTTGAGGTTTCTCTATTTTTAACCTTCATTTTTTTCTGCACCTAGAAGTCCTTCCTTAAAGTGCAAACTTAAGAGTGTTATCAGGCATCTCTATTAGTGATATTTTTCATATAAAAGGAAAATTAACAGTGATGAACTGATCAGTGCTATTGAGGGAGACTCACTGTCTAGTACAGAAAGTTGGTTTGAATAGTTGCATGCAAAGAAAAAGTAGATACAGGTAGAGAGGCTGAAAGGGAAAGTCTTTGTATATATATGTTACTAGTTTGCAAGGGTTGGGAAGACTTTCACCTAAAATAGGTGTAAGTGCCCACTAAGGCTGTGCCTGACATTGTGCTGAAACATGTAATATATGTGAAGAGAGAGTGGTGCTTTGCAGTTGCCTAACAGTAATGGCACTTTCTTACTTTGCAGCATGTGAAACCACCGTGGAGCTCTTGTTTGACAGTGTTATACATTTAGGCTGTAAGCCGTACCTGGACAGCCAACGAGCCGCATGTAGGTGTCGCTACGAAGAAAAAACTGATCTTTAAAGAAGATGCTGACAGGTGGTGACAGCAGATGAGGACAGAAGAACATAACCTTTGACAAAGAGCTAATGTTTTCACAGCATAAAGCTGCCTTATTTTTGTGAAAGGATTATTTTAAGACCTTATTTTGACCTTAAAACTTCAAACTAAAGAAACAAATGCAGGTTATATTCCTGGATGTTGCTGCCTTAATATGCCATATTGTCTTGACAATCACAGAAAGAGGGGCATGTTAAGGGAGAATTTTTTAGAAGAAAGAGTCTAACTCAGTTTTCACAACTATATTTATCAAAAAATAAGGTCAAATGTAAAATTCGTTATAAGGTATGTTCAACAGTATCTTATTTGGAAATATGGGGAAATCTTCACTTAAAAGTATGTTTGTTTGGGCTTCCCTGGTGGCACAATGGTTGAGAGTCCGCCTGCTGATGCAAGGGACACAGGTTCGTGCCCCGGTCCGGGAGGATCCCACATGCCGTGGAGCGGCTGGGCCCGTGAGCCATGGCCGCTGAGCCTGCGCGTCCGGAGCCTCTGCTCCGCAACGGGGGAGGCCACAACAGTGAGGAAAAGAAAAAAAAAAGTATGTTTGTTTACTGTACAATTTAAAATATACATTTATGCCGAGAAAGATCTGACTTTATTTTTGCTCTTTTAATTAACACATAGTTTTTTCCATTGCCCATTGAGCATATGAATAAGCCACACTTCTATGAATGATAGGACTAGTTACAAGGACATGTCTGTTTCTCTTATAAAATTGGAACCATCTCCTGGGACCTCTTAGGAAACAAAACTAGGATATCTGTGTATTAATATGTGCCTAGAAAGTGACTTGAACAAAATTCAGAAGCATAGCCATCCCATTTTATGAGCCACTCATGACAAATTTCATTTCATCTTGCTATAAACTTTGCCTAAATTGGAGAAAAGATGGATTTAATGAGACAAATGAAAAGTTGTTTAATATACACATCAGAGCATTATATGCGTTACATGCTTTGGTGTTTACTCCCTAGGACTTACTCTTGGTAGATTCTCGGATTTTTTTTTTTTTTTTTTAACATCTTTATTGGGGTATAATTGCTTTACAATGGTGTGTTAGTTTCTGCTTTATAACAGAGTGAGTCAGTTATACATATATATATGTTCCCATATCCCTTCCCTCTTTGTCTCCCTCCCTCCCACCCTCCCTATCCCACCCCTCCAGACAGCCACAAAGAACCGAGCCGGTTTCCCTGTGCCATGCGGCTGCTTCCCACTGGCTATCTACCTTACGTTTGTTAGTATATATATGTCCATGTCTCTCTCTCGCCCTAACACACCTCACCCTTCCCCCTCCCCATATCCTCAAGTCTGTTCTCCAGTAGGTCTGTGTCTTTATTCGTGTTTTACCCCTATCGGATATTTTTAAAAGACTGTAAACCTTTTACTAATATTGGCCTTCATAAAAATTGTTCTTGATATTGTTGGGTTTTTTAAATCTTTAACTGTGGAGTCAAAAGGGATGGAAAAGCAGAATCCAAAGAACTATCTTTTATAGAAAATTATTAACAGATGTTTAAGAGCAAAGCCCAGAAGTTCAACTGCTTCTGAAAATGTCTGTGAGGATTGAAGGCTTTTCAACCCCTTGGAAAGCTCAGCTGTGTTCCTCTACCATTCTTTGCTTACCACTGGCTGTCGACTTTCCCTAGCCCGAGGTCCCAAGCCATGTATATTTTTTGGGTAACCTCTGGCCAAAGTTATTAAGATGAACTGCTTGGAAAGTCAGAGAAAGCACCAGCAGAAGTGGTTCTTTCTAAATCAATACATGCAGAATTGGGATGAATGAAAAATATGTTCTGGAAAAAGGGCCACATTCCTAACTTTGAATATATGTTATTGCTGAGAACCTGATGGCTTTCCAAACTGAGATGGTGGCAGCTATTCTGCTAATAGATGTGTCCTCTATTAGACAAGGCAAGTGTATCCCTCAGGGCTAAGTAAGCAAACTGGGCTCCAGTTGCATTACTTGACCAGGTAACTTTAAACTTGTAATAAATTCATGGATTTTCTTGGCAGCATTGGCTTTCTCAAGAGGACAAAGTCAGAATGTCTTTGTAAAATATTTAATTCATGGTCATAAATTATGTACAAAAATCAGTAGAAGCAGTTTTTATGTTCAAATTTTAAAAACTTATCTAGGAATAATTTTAGATTTACAGAAGAGTTGCTGGGATAGTATAGAGGCTTCTTGTTATACTCCTTACCCCTAATGTGAACATTTTACATAAACACGAAACATTTGTTAAGAAACCAACATTGGTAATTACTATTAACGAAACTCTAGACTTTATTAGGATTACACTAGTTTTTCCACTAGTGTCGTTTTTCTTTTCCAGGATCCACTTTGGGATACACCATGTCTAATTAGCCTCTAGTCTATGACGGTTCCTTGTCTTTCCTTGTTTTTCATAACCTTGACAGTTTTGAGGAGTACTGGTCAGGTGTCTTGTAGAATGTCCCTCAATTTGGGTTAGTCTTAATGCTTTCCTCATGTTTGGACTAGGGTTATGGATTTTTAGGAAGAAAACCAAGAGGTGAGTGGTTCTTATCAAATCATATCGGTAGTTGACTGCTATCAACTTGATGTTGTATAAACTCTAGACATTCGGTTAAGGTAGGGTCTGTTAGTTTCCTCCACTGTAAAGCTACTGTTTTCCCTTTCCATGCTTTTGTTCTTTGGAAACCAGTCACCAAGTCCAGTCTGTGGGAGGCAAGATTATATTCCGCCTCCTGGGAGGGGGGTGTATCTATTGTAGTACTTGAAATTCTTGTCACCATCCGCCCCTCCCCACACCCGTGTATTATTCAGTTATTTGTGTCAGTATGGATTCGTGCCTATTTCTTTTGTACTGTGAGTAATATTTACAAATTGTTCCAGCTTGGCCTTTGGGAGTTACGTCAGGTTGACTCTGTGTGTCTTTGACCTGCACCAGCCTTTTGACTTCTGAGCATCTCCATCCTTTCTGGTAAGAAAGTAGGAAAGTTGCTTCAGGCTCATCTTATATATTCCCAGCCCCAGCCCTAGAATCAGCCTCTTTTCAAAGGTTCCTTTTATTGAAGAATGGTTTACAGTGGAACTTAGAAACCAAGATCTGGACACTGGATAGCTTGTTTCTACTGGGATATCACTGCTTCTGGACCCTCCCAGCAAACAGAGCTAGAAAATATGTGTATATTAACCCATGTACATGTACATATCTGTAATTATGTGTATATATATTAAGCTGAAGATAAGTTTGTACTGTCTTCACTTGAATTCTGTACAACAGGGCATATATTTAAGCTTTAAGGATGGTATTTTCCTTATCCACAGAATAAATTAAAAAACAAAATCACCCCCTAAAAAACTAGCTTTTAGCAGCTGTTTGCAAGACATATATTGATATTTTAAAATAATAAAACTATTGCCTTCAAATAATGCCTGTCTTTTTAAAGTCTTTTGGCACACCTCTTCCAGGGACAGATATAGCTGTATGCATTTCATAGGTGGAGAAACTGAGGCACAAAGAAGTTGTAAGGAAGACAGGATTGAAATATGAGGGCAAACACATGTTTCTGAGCAGGATTTCCTTCAGTGACCCCTAGACTAGTCTAGACTAGTAGGTACTAATTAAAACATTGTTTTGGTAGCTTATAACTACTTCCCCCTAAAATGAAAAAGTGATTATTTCTGTCAGTATTTATAGAAGTACAAGGTTGGCAGGTCAGGTTGGTCATTATTTTATCCTGGTACAAAACAGGAATAACATCTAACAAAATGAAGACAATGGAGTCCTTCTGTAAAAACAACTCCTTTTAGTAGACTGACTTTAGTAACTTTGGGGAGTAGACTGAAACCTATTAGGTAAGGATCCTTCCACGTAGGTTACATTGCATTGGTCAAAATTCACAGATACTCCCTGCGGTATATTCAAGTCTTGTATAACACCTGTCTCTAATGATTGAAATAGCCCCTTTAGTTTGCTGTTTTTCTCACAGAATTGTGTACAACCAGTATATGAAAGATAACTAAATTAATAGTTATCAATAGGGCTTCCCTGGTGGCGCAGTGGTTGAGAGTCCGCCTGCCAATGCAGGGGATGCGGGTTTGTGCCCCGGTCTGGGAGGATCCCACGTGCCGCGGAGTGGCTGGGCCCGTGAGCCATGGCCGCTGAGCCTGCGCATCCGGAGCCTGTGCTCTGCAATGGGAGAGGCCACAACAGAGGCCCGCGTACCGCAAAAAAAAAAAAAAAAAAAAAAATCAATAAAAATAAAACCAGATCAGCAGTGTCATATTTGCATACAGGTCACCGTGATGTTATGCTTTTTTTTGTCTTGGGCTTATTAGGTTTCCAAAACATCCTTCAGAGTCTCCTTGCTGCCTACTTTACAAATATGTCTTTGTTGGCTCTCAAGTTTTCTTAAGTGTAGTAATCAGAATTATAGAAATTTGGTATTCCTATGATTTATATAGGAAAAAAACAAGGTTTAGTGGGGTAAACACTGAAAAAAGAAAAAAGGTCAAAATTTAAGTTTTAGAATTATCTCTGAATTTAACTTTATTCCATATATTTCATTCCTCGGATAGGTAACAGTTGGCTAAGAGCTTCAGTTTCAGAAAATCCATAAAATTGACTTCTAAACGTCACTAAAAATGAAAGTCACTAAAAGTCACTGTAATGGCAAGAATCAAGCCATCCTGTCCGTTAACTTTTGGTCTTTAGTATATCTTAATTATTTTAATAATATGGAAATGCTTTGGGTTCTATTCTTTGAGAAGGAAGAGATTCCTTGGTAGGATTCTAATTAGTCTATGTCTCAAACGTGAGCCTGCAGCGGAATCACTGGAGGGCTTGTTAAAATGAGCTGCTGGACCTCACCGCCAGTTTCTCATCCAGTAGGTCTGATTGTGTAGGTCCCAAGAGTTTGCATTTCTAGTATGTTCCCAGATGATGTTGATCCTGCTGGTTCAGAGACTACGG